TTCACAGATCAAATACTTGCCTCTCTGTGGACATGTATATCTATACTGATGAAATTATAGGTAAACAAGAAGGGGATAGAATTCTTGTAAAGCTGGCAGCATATAGGTGCATATAACTTGATACATCTGAATTGAAGAGTTAATTCTACAGTAAAAATAATTCTGTCAGCATTAGATTTCAATGATTTCTCATTTCATTTAGTGTATGTTACACAGAAAATACACTGTCTCATCAACATGATGACATTTTCCCACACTAACAAGTTTTCAGTCAAGTTCAGTAAAATAGCATGCTTGCTATTCCACTTCATTTTTTGTATAGTTATTTTTACAGTGCCTCTTTAAAGGTCAAAGTCGACTTCTGTCACCATTCGCAAAACCTGCATAATAATCAGATTTTCCTCAAAATTTTGATTAAGACTTACAATCAATAGGAAGTATTTCCATTTGGTCCAAAATTATAGAAGAAATTATAGCAAAATACAGAAGAAGAAGCGAAAATCTGCAACAAAATGATTGAGAGTTACATACTGATGTTTTCTTTAGTCAGAATCAAAATCAATTTGAAGTTCATCAATCTCAGAGAAACACAGGTACTTTTCATCTGATTGATCATCGATTTGCCAGGTATTCTGATATATTGCAGTATTTGTGATCTAAGTAAAGGTTTTGGTGGCTTACTCAAAGCATTGTTCAATAATTACTACAATTGAAAATTTCAGTAACAGTACAGTACAAGAAAGTTTGGAGATGCCCGGGACCAGTTTGGAGATGCCCTGGAGCAAAAAGATGCACATCTTGAAAAGACAAACCACACATCAGTTGACTCCCTCATTTTCTTCTCAGAACTTAAATCATTTACAAACATTAATAGTCATCATCTTCTTGATTTCAACCAGATCCTGCTTGCTGATAACAGTAATTTCTTTTTCAGCAACCAATCAGAAAAAAACATGACAAATCCTGCCGCAGTCACCGAAACCACTCAGAGGTGTAATCCAAAACACATTTAGTAACACACATAAACTTGTTTTATCCACAGAGAGCCATCAGGAAAGTTCAGGATAGTCTACGAAGTGGTAAAATACCTAGACCTGTGTTGACATCTATTTTACCATCTTTTCCTCCTGCCTCCGATACTGATACAGATAATGAGCGACCTAGGGAGTCAGAAAGTGACATCAGCTCCAGCTACTTTCCAAGGAGGCGTCATGATGGTGAGTTGTTGATTTATAATATCAGATTACTACCTAAAGTTTTTAATATAAATATGTACAATAACATAAGACTTATAAGATAAGGATATGCAATTTTGATATCTATTTACTGTGATATGCATCAGTCAACTAATGGAGTATTTGAACCAATAGCATCACACATTGCAGTGAATGCATAGATCGGTTCAAATATGTAAACAGAAATGAGCGAGTTTGTTGTTGCACTTTGCAAATAAGGAAGAACACTAGTGAAAACTGAGGAAAAAAAAGTAGTTTCGGAAATGTACATTTTATGATCATCTCCCAATTTGTGTAACTACATATTAAAATCATACCGGGGGTATATATAAATTCTTGATATTAATAACTATATGCAAAAATAATGAGACCCTGTGTTTTTGAACAATTCATGGTACGTTATTTTGCAATGCAAACATTAAAAAATAATACTGCTTCCATTCAAAGATGCTTAATGGGAAAAAAGTGTTTAATTAATGCACACAGTCTAGATATGATTTTGTGCTGATGATTATGAATGTTATATTACACTGTCATTTTGAAATGACAAGGTCCATCATGTTAGTGTAGGTATACATTATTTCACTTGTTTGCACAGTTGAATGGTGTAAATATTCACAGCCAAACTCACTAAAGTCACTCACTGTGGCAAAAATGGAAGAGCATCGCCAGGCGATGGACGCGAGGCTCTTTGGCAACGACCGCAAACGTATCGTGTCCAGCCAGAGGTCAAAATACACATTCTATTTTTACGTGTTAAATTTGGCTCTTCCGTTTCACCCCCTCCGGAATGTCATACTTTCGTAGCCTAATCGCAGGTTTTTCGAAAAAACACAAGAATTAGTAGAAATGTTCCTGTTTTGGGCGGATTATTGATAGAGAATAATGTCTTTATTACAAAAATGCTGAAAAAACCGTGAGTTTTTGCCTTAGTTATTTTTTTATTGGCGAAAAACTGCGAACTCGATAAATTTGGTTGCACAACTTCCCTTTATCATATACACCCAGTGACACCGATACCAGCTGACTGTGTACAAAACTGGTAGGACGTAATACATTTGGGGCGAAAGTATTCAAAAATCAGTTTTTGGATGTTGCAACGGCAGTGGTGGGCCAGGATTTTTTTCAATTAGTGACGGCACGACCTACCTGTGAAGTTTGAACAAAATCAGCCGAGCCGAAAAAAATCACAGAGGAGTTAAAAGCTGTTGCTGGTGAAAAGTTACCCCAACTTTGGGGTCAAATTTCTCGGTGATGAAAAAAGATATCAACAATTCAAATAGTAACTTTGTGCCCACACTCAATCTGAGTAGAATGAGCTATGTCTGAAGTGTTTTATCCCAATTTTGTAGGAGGAGATACATTTGGCGCGAAGCTATCCAAAAATCAGTTTTTTGGCTGTTACTATGGCAACGGTGGACCAACATTTTTTTCCAGATTTTTCCTAATAACTAGGGCGAAGGTGTGACCTACCTGTCAAGTTTGAAAGAAATCGGCCAAGCCAAAAAAATCACAGAAGAAATCATACGTGAAAACACTGGAAATCACACACACACAAAACGACAAAAGTGATTATAAGGGCAATCCTAGCGGAGCGGATCGCCAATAATTGCAGATCTATGTATTTCATTTTCTATATGGCTTAAAACTTTAAATACTCATGGTATAATAAATTTGTACATTAGTTGAAAAAAAATCCAGTTTTCATAACAATTTCAGAATAAAATTTAAAATATCACATGTGTGTCAAGTTTTAAAAACAAATTGATCTAAACATTTAAACATTACAACAATTTTAGACTGAAATAAAAATTAAAGGAAATCAGTAAAATATGAATAAAACTTAGGTTCAGGAACAATCCTTCCCCTGTATACTGCTCTCAAATGAAGTATACTGCCCTCTGTAGTTTGTATTTATAAAAACAAAAGTATAGGCTCATAAAAACAAAAGAATTTTCCATATCATGGTGTTGTCACACAGTGCAATAAAAGACTTTCCTTTGGGGGTAACATTCTCAAGTGAAATGAGGAACTTGATCCTTTTATGTGCAAACATTATCTGTTTTGTTTTATTCACTGGAGAACAAATGTTTTTCGACTGCTTTATCAAGCCTTGCATGGCGTTTCAAACCATTTGGTTTTGCTTTGATTTGGTTGACGGAGAATAAAATGAGGAATATAAAGCTGCTGCTGATTAAAGGCATTTAATAGGAATACTCTATTGATGTGTTAGCTGTCTGAATTGATGAGAATCAAAACGTCATCAATGGTCCTCATTTAGGTCAAGTAACATCAGTAATCGGGATTCGTCCAATCACATTACATCTGGTGGCTGTGTAGGCATTACATATACTGTGTGGACTCATTGTGAACACAGTCAGCAGTCTATACTAGTCTTACCAGGACTTTATCAATATGTTACACTGCCAATATCTGGAGCCTATAATAGGTAATTACTTTATGTTCAACTGTTAATAACCTTACCAGATGTGTATCCAATTTTGCACATATTGATATATGCAGCATATTTTGGTCTGTGTCTATAATTGATTCTGTCCTTGTTACCGGTCACCATTCTATCCCTTGCTCATCATTGTCTTGTTATTCAGATCATGTAGTTGTTTCAATTTGTTAATTTTATTTTCGGTATAATCCCCATTTTGTGGCCTCTGTATTTAGTAATTAGTGTATTGAATGCATTAGTACATGTGTTCCTGTCATTTCTCTGTGGTTCTTGATGGGAGGTTTGATGCCTGTGAAATAATAAGCATTCATCGTTTCCGAGTTACAGATATTTTTATTCATTTGCCATGTATCTGATTAGACTACATATAAACACAGGAATTTGTAAAATAATTGTTTGTATGCAAGTTAGCATCAGTTTCAAGTTTCAGAAACCGTACATACATGTAGTGTATAATATATTTTAAAATTTATGCATATTTGTTTACTAACTGTGAGTCAATGATGACGCTCTTTTTTTTTGCAAGTCATTGTTGAGAAAGAACAGTTTCACATGTGATACACAGATTCCACGCGTGTTACACAATTTTAATTTTCTATCAATTATTTAGAAAATACCACAATGTCTGCCATAATGTTCTTGTTATCAAAACTTCTATGATTAAATTCACATATTTAGTTTATTGGGTACTTTAAGTAAGATCACAAAATATTTTAAAATATTAGGCATCTTGTTTAATAATTATAATACATCATGTACTTGTTTATAGGCACGTTAAGCCATGTTCAGATTATTTCCGCATTACATACTTTAGTAGTACTTAATTTCCATTATATTGAATCCCATGGTAGGGGACATGCAGAGACTGAATATAAACAATAACTTTAGATGCTAGATATGGAGCACTTGCTTGATATTTTCAATCAAGTCCAAGTAATTCTGTGTATCTTGCCAACATAGGAATCTGGATTTTGTTCGCCTTTGACTATTTATAAATCAAAATTTTGTAGACCGTGGGACAAAATCTTGTGAAAGTCACTTTGTGAATGTCATATTGTTTCCCACCCAAATATTGTGGGAAAGTCTCTCTGGAGGCATCTTTACCCTTTTCACATCCTTTTCAGACTTCCTCGGCCAAATTGTTCTGCAATTTTTTTTATAATCATGTGGTAATGAACCCTAATTTTGGCGCCAACAGACAAAATTTTAGTTAATTTTCAGTTTTTACTAAAAAAAAATTTTTTCAAAGGGTAAAGGTTGCTGGTAAAATGTTTACTGCTTTGAAGTTTTGCAATTTTCTGACTGGCTTACGATACTATTATCTTCCCCAAAATTAAAATGGCTAACAGTTCTTTTTTCAATGTAATTGCTGTGTCAATTACTTTGATTTTCACTAAAAAAAGTAAGATTTAAAATATTAATAACAATTTTTTCATGATTCTGGTCTGAAAATAAATCAAAAAATAGCATTTGAATTTTCACTTTGAATTATGATACAAACCAGATTTAATGGTCCAGGGATATTCACTGGGTTTAAAATTCATTGGTTTGTGATGGAAACGATGAATTCTAATATTAAATTTATATATTCACTTCCTTTTTAATTTAACTTGTCTATCTGTCAATAGATTGCGTAGTACATGTATATAGCTAGATGAAATACTTTGACAAGTATATATTGTACAAAACGTGATATAGTATTACACAACTGTACGTTTGTAAATATCATTAGTCTGGCTTCAAATTTTTACATCTGTTGGTTTGATTCACTGGATTTGTTTGCATGGGTGACAGATTTTAATATTATGTATATATGTATTTTTTACAATATTCTGCATTGGGTATTGGTGTCCAACCTTATTGGGAGATTGAATGTCCTTATAAGGAGTATGTATTTACCGATACTGTTATTCATGTTTAGGGCCTACATCTAAACATGAAAAACTGTGATATATCATCTATTTAACCAGTGCTTGCATAATTGAAAACACTCTTGGCCAATCAGTATTATATATTTATGATTATATAGTTTGTATCCATACAAAAAAGGTGTTTGCTATAAAGTCTTGATATACAGTCAAAGTAATAACACCCAACATTTTTTTCACCTTTCACAAAATAAACCTGCATATTTTTTGAATGAAAATTAAAAATGGACTCAAATTTTGTCTGTTGACCTAAAAATTAGGGTTCATTTTCAGAAATATTGAAGGATATAAAAAAAAAAGTGCAGAAAAATTTGGGCAAAAAAGTCTGGTGGTGAAAAGGTTAAACAAAAGTCCAATCTTGAATCCTTCATTAGGGTAATCATACCTCAACGTTTGTTTCTTCTACCCAACCACTCTACCATCACTTCAAAATGTAATAAAACTTTTAACATACATCATTAACTGTCAGTTATTTATATTTAGTCGTATTTAGTCGTAAAACAAATGTCAGTTGTTTGTTTTCATCAACATCCTCAGATTTCGTGTGATACTGTTATCTTTTTTCAAAGTTCAGTAGTTTTTATCACCTTCTAATCTCTTAAATTTGTCCTAAATCTTTCTCAAGGCTAATCTCCATCCATGAAGTTATAAGGACCTCAATTACACAAATTATCAGATTTGTATAAAATCTTAACAAAAACATGTTACAGCGATTGCGTTAACCCCATATTTTGCTTCCCTGACTCCAATTATTGAAGAGGGACCCAGTTTTTCAGGCAAGCTGGGGTCCAATCTCTAATAAAGTTATCCAGGGTCAAATTTCAATTTCTTAAAATTCTGTAAGTGGGACTCGTCTTGCTCGGACTAGCCCAAACCCTGATGTATAATTTAGGTTCATCATTTCTTAACTATTTTTTTTTTTCTTCATGAACACAAAACAATCCCATTTCATAGTCAGTAATATGTTATGAGATTAAGCGATGAAGCCATTTATATGTTTAAGATTTAGTTAAACTGTATATTCCAATAAGTAATAATCATTAATTTTAAATTAAATACCAAGTAATCAAATAAATCCAATTACTTAACAATTTGTACATAGTGCTTTCAGCGGCAGCCGTTCAAATATTTTGTGTTATATTATATACTTTACATGTGTTGTGTGTATCACATGGGACCCATATCAAACACTAGGCATTGCGCAGCGACTGTGATGTTTTTACAATTCATGTTTTCTAAATGACCAGTAAAAGTAGTGACTCACCTCTGATCATTAGACCTCAGAATAGATCAGAAAGAGATTTACCCCGGTATAACAAAATGATTTAAAGTCATAGAAAGATCCTAGCCATATTTGTTGTGTGTCCTTAGAGTAGAGGTGGCAGTGTTGTTACCATGGATACAAGACTAATGGTCATCATGCTCAAATGACTTAAAGGTGGTGTATGTCGTACTTCACCTCAGATTAAATAAAAATATGGGAAAATGTTTTCAACATGGTCAAGTCCATGAGTGAATATCACTCACTTGTTTGTTCATAGTTGTGAGGAAGCTATTATAGTTTTGGTTACATGTAAGCATTGATATCTTTTTCTGAAGTGGTCTTGGAAATATTGTCTCAGTACTGTCAGATTTCTGACTTTCAACAAATTTGGGAATTAAATTTACGTACCAGCAGGCTGTATATTGATAAGTTTGTAGTGAGAAATACTACTGATAAATTTATGTATCTGGATTCAATCAACAGAAGGCTGTATATTGATAAGTTTGTAGTGAGAAATACTTGGAGATGTACACTTGATAAATTTATGTTTATTGGACTCAATCACAGGCAAGCTGTATATTGATATTAAGTTTCTAGTGAGAAATACTACCGGTACTGATAAATTTATGTATCTGGATTCAATCATGAGCAGGTCTAGCAAAACCAGCTTGTGAAGTTAATGATTTTTGTCCTTTTGGCCACGAATTGAAATCTTTTCTATGGTAACATCGCTTTGTGCATTCCAAGAATACTGTCTTTTTCATAACACATGAATACATATTAACCACTCAGCATTTTTTTGACCACTTTTTTTTCTTGCAATTTTCAAAGTCAGATGGCAAGATTTCTCAGTGAGTTAATATTTATCTTCAATCATACTGATTATATTATATTAAATATATAAATTACTTTTTTTTCAGAGCTCACTGCCAGTGACAGTGATAGTTACTTCACAGCACCAGAAACAGAAGATGCTCCAAAATTTGTTAAGAAGCTGATGAAACAGGATGTGATTGAGGGACAAGCTGTTAGTTTTGAATGTGTTGTGTCTGGAAACCCCAAACCTAGTGTAATATGGCTAAGGAATAACTTTCCCATACGAGAAGGAGATGACTTCCAGTTCTTACAACACACAGACAGGTAGGATAACATTTTCAGCTTTCATTGAGAATGAGATTTGAGTGGATGTGACAGGAAGAATGGAACACAGTTTGAGGGTCAAAAAACAAGTGTTGTGGCTCCCTCACTCTTAAAGGGGAACCACTCAATCCCATATATTGCACGACTTGCTCATGGGTAATCGACTCTGCCTCTGTCCACGAAGTAAATGAATGCTTTTTATGCTCGCTTACTCAAACTGTGATTGACAGGCATTTTGCATACATTAGCTGCCATTTTAAAATCAGAATTTTCACTGGTCGCAACACATTTCGATCGAAAACAACAACATTTATACATCAAAAGCCCAACAAGACGAGTGTAATCGCTAGCGTACATATTCATGCCCTTGTAGAAATGTATTTGGATCACAGCTTGATCTCTAAACATCGTAAATGGCACATTTCCGGAGCTCCTGTCACGATGTGAGTGGCTTGGTTTGGATTAACATACTAATTGCGGTGGCCATCTTACCTTAATTTATAGTATCTGTTCCCTTTTAACCACATCTCAATGGCCATTTGCATGTAAAATCTATTGAGGAACATATTTTCGTGAGTCAAGAAAAATTGCAAATTTTGTGTCATCTTGCATGGATGGGCGTGGGTAACTAGTAAAACAAAATTTAAAATCACTAGTAACTCTTCTGCTGAGAAGAAGATTTTATCAAGTAAATGACAAAGAGCAACTAAAAAGTAGGGATACTCAAAACTTGTTTTTATAAAAACAATGATTCTGTCATTTCTTCATTTAGCAATAAGCTCTTCTCTGACCATTATTTTGAATTGTAAAAATGTTAAAAAATACATTCAATTAAGGTTTATTCAATTAGTTTGGGTACAGAGAAGTTTTCTCCTCAGACTTTTAAATACAAATGTAGACAGTTTAGCACAATTCCTGTGTCAAAACTGTGTTCATTTATAAATATGCAAATAAGCTAATTAAACATACACAGACATGGTTATATCATTTAAGGGTTGCATGAGTTGCAAAAGTTTGTCAAAATGTAAATTTCCTAAATAGTAAATTGTTCATTCTATGTTTTACGGAGGAATGTAATAAATGTAAACTCTTTCAACATTAACACATTAAATTGTAATGTTAATTGACCTGGTCTACTTAATCAGTATTTTTTTTTTATTTTCCCTGTCTGTGGCAGTAATTACTGTGAAGTATTTATTTCTACCCTTTGTATGCCTCACATTTTTGTAAGACAATTAAGAGTAATACTATTTGGCTTGCAAACACACTGTGTAAATCAATCATTCAAACCACACCACTTGTGTAATTTTTTACAAATCTGATGAGATGCTTGACAAACATGTGTAATCAAATGATTATAGAGAATGCAATAATAGTGAAACAGTTCAGTTCCAGTTCAGACACCTGACACCTATACTGAGCTAACAGATATTCATGGCAGATGTTGGATTGTATATCATATTCTACAGGTGCCTTCACTCAGTTGTTCACATGCAGGGAGACTTGCAGTGTAGCTTATTTGCTCTACAGTGCATATAAATGTTTGTAATGAAATGTTTTTTGTTTTTGATACTGAAGATAAAGTGTTCTATACGAGCAAGTCATTACAAGGATGTGAAATTTGACCACTCTGAACATTTTTTTTTAAAACTTTACTAGTACTTTCCAGATAAAATGGTGTATGTTTACTTTCTGTATTGAAATTCTATGTGTAGTATGCTTAAACAGTAGACTACTCTTTCCAAATATGTGTACTTGATAACTAAATAAATGGTTTTCTTTCATGTACTGGTCAGTATCTGTGACTTTTCATCGTTTATGAGTAGTTTCATTTGCTTTAAGTAATACATTCCAGATGTTCTACTGATTGAGTTAAACTCATTCACCCAGTGTTGATATTGTGTGTTTTTATAAAGCCTTGTGATATGCACTGACAATTGCCCCTATCCACCATATGATGTGTCCTTAGGATGACAGCCGCACTAAGTATTTATTTCAACTCATAGTGAGATACTGTAAATTTCACATGTTATAGAAATTGCTCTCAATGTCTTCTTTCTTTTCATCTGGAGCAGGATTTGTTCACTCTTTTGGTACATCTGACATCACTTATTTTATACAATAATATCCATATATGTTTCTTTTACTGATTAGTCCCTGTCAGACAAAGTACAAAACTTATGTTTTTGGTTCTGTCTGTGCATGCATCCTTGTATTCATTAATCGTCATATCTCCGATATGCCTGGACTGATTTTGTTAAAAGTTAGTACAGAAAAGTCATAGTGGGATAATAATTCTTTATTTAATTTTTTTTTTATCTTTGGCCGACTAGTGACCATTTTTGTTCAGAAAAACACCAAAAATCAACATGCATGTATGAGTGTGTCATCAACCATTTCATTCAAACTTGGCATTAACATCACCCATGGTGGTTTATTGACTGACATCATTTTGTTTTGCCTGGACTAATTTTGTTAAAAGTTGATACAAAATAAGTCATAGTGGGATAATAATTTGTTATTGATCTTTGACCGACTAGTGGCCATTTTTGTTCAGAGAAACACCAAAAACCAACATGCATGTATGGCTGTGTCATCAACAGTTTATTATGCTGGCTTTTGATTGATTTCATTCAAACGTCATTAACGTCACCCATGGCATCATTTTGTTTTGCACTTTGATTCAAACTGGCTGACTAGGTGGGTGTACAAATATAGTATTTTGAAACCAAGATGTAATATCACTCAGTCATTCTCTGACTTGTAATTTCAGTGAACAGTCTGAATATCATTCCACACTCTGATATGCTGTGTAAAACGCATTCCACATCATAAACAATTTTTAAGCCTTAATGAATGTGAAAATGAGCATATCGGCCTTCAGTCTCGGTTTATATCTTGGCGTGTAATCTTTCATCTGTTGACATTTAGGTGGGAGGAACTGTGTTTTATAGACCTCTGTTTTAATTCATGTCATGTACGATCTTGGAATAGGGCATTGACTTCTCTAAAACCGCCAAAGTGAGAACACCCATATGATGTCATGATCACATTCCAAGATATCCAAGCACATTAGTTTTGAATGTCTGTTTTCATGTCATTATCGTTGAGTATTAAAGTCAGAACACCCAGACACTGACAACTCATCTTAGAAGATCTGTATTATAGCATTGTGTTAAAGAGACATGCACAGAGTTTTCCAATTTACATCAGCTCAGACTGGTTTCTGGTGTGCCCCTTATCAGACAGGTAACTGGTTTACACCAGACAGGTTTCTGCAAAGAAAGAATCATTTAAAAGGTGTACAGTTGCAAGTGATTGTTATTAAATGTTGCTCTTTCATGCAAATTATTCTAACTGAGTGGGTGTACAATTTTAATATTTTGAATGCTATATGTATTATCACTCAGTCATTCTCTGACTTGTAATTTCAGTGAACAGTCTGAATATCATTCCACACTCTGATATGCTGTGTGAAATGCATTCCACATCATAAAAAATGTTTAAGCCTTAATGAATGTGAAAATGAGCATATCGGCCTTCAGTCTCGGTTTATATCTTGGCGTGTAATCTTTCATCTGTTGGCATTTAGGTGGGAGGAACTGTGTTTTATAGACCTCTGTTTTTATTCATGTTATGTACGATCTTAGAATAGGGCATTGACTTCTCTAAAACCGCCAAAGTGAGAACACCCATATGATGTCATGATCACATTCCAAGATATCCAAGCACATTAGTTTTGAATGTCTGTTTTCATGTCATTATGGTTGAGTAAGTCAGAACACCCAGACACACATCTTGAATACAATGTAACAGTATGTGTTTGTTAATTTTTTCATCATTCATACATTAATTCAATCATTCATTTACTAATTTATTTCTTCATTTATATTTCACTGATTTTTCATTCATTTATTTGGAAAAATAAAAAACCCTGGCTACATCAAATGTCCAGAAACTAGTATAATTTGAGGTTATTACGAGGATACCTCAGCTGAGGTTGATGCGACAGCGTACTGCCTGAGTACTTACTTGAGGTATCCTCGTAATAACCTTATTATTGTACATCTTTTCCTCCAAGGATGCATCATGGAAATGCCGAAATTCAAAAAGTTTAGAACAGGATCAGCGACTTCTTTGTGTCAAACTTTGGTGACAGCCATGTTTGTTTTTATTATTAGAGGACGCTTATGTGCAAAATCATTCCATATATGGTAGTATGAAAATACTCTGTAAAACACCACAAAATTACGGTACGCTGTAACTTGTGGCGTTACGGTGACAGATGTATAATAATATTACTTATTTAAATATTTTTTACAGTGTTCTATAACTGAAATATTCCAATGCAGCATGATTCACAGGAATGTACTATAATATCCTTTCACACACAAAATATCGGATAGGTGAAATAGTTTTAGACTTTATGGTAAATATCAGTATTCAATTAGGCACAGTCAGTCCAATTAACTGATAAAGTTATCTTTGATAAAGTAATCTTTGTCTCGTTAATTCACAGATTCAGTGTAGACTTTAAGTGATCATTCTTAATAGGCCACAAAAACCTGTCAAGATATCACAAGACAATTAATCACGAGGTCATAAGCTGATACAGATTACACAAGTGTCAGGGCCTTGTCAAACTCTGCAGTGGGGGGCAATGCTATTTCAAACAGCCAATGATAGAACTATATTAAAAATTGGCCACTGAAAGTATGTTACCAGGCAGTTTAATCCTGCTAACAACAGGTTCCATTTACCAGTTGTCATTTAGTTATTTTCTAGTTATTTTGTATGGAGGAACAAGTCATTTGTTTGGTTTTCATTTGTTGTCAAACTCTCTTTATACAAACTTGATACAAGTATGTATGTGCAACATCCCTATGGTTCAACTGTAAGTTGTAACTCATAACTGACATGTCTGACTCATGTAAGTGACAGTTAGCTTTATTCATAACCATTACCATATTTACTGTATTACGGTCACACTTTCACAAATT